TCTGGAAAAAAATGTATATTTTAATGCATTCATTTATCCAAAAAGTAATAAATCTATTCATTCACTCTTGCTCTAATTAGTTTGTATGCTTGCATAAGAAGGAACACATGAGAACGTACTTGATTAAAATTTTCAAACGAATGAGAGTTTAAACAAAAAAAATAACTGAAATAGAAAAAAGAATCTTTCCAACTTTAGAGATGGACAAATATTAGTTGCTCCAAATCTCAACAAACATTATATCTCAATTTTTTATATCACTTGCTACTAATCGCAATAAATATAATATCTTCATTTTTTAGCAAATTAAACATTTTTAGGATATTATATCTTCATTTTTTTAGCAAATCAAACATTTTTTAACATTTATTTTAATCGATTACAATTTAAAAAAATAATCGATTGTGAGTTCTTTAAAGAAAAAGAAAATATATCTAGTCGTTGCACATCGTTAAGGTGTTGTCTAAATTTCTTGGGGTGTAAGTTTGAATTAATCTAATCGATTAGACCAAAGACCCAATCGATTAGATAAGTCAAGTGTTTCCCTCTAGATATTTCAACATCTCCTAAAGTCATTTGGTATAACTCTAAGACATTATTGAAGATGTTTTCTCTTTAATAAAAACATTTTAAAAGGATTTTAGTGTGTGTGTATGCTTATAGTGAAAAATATATTTGTCCCTTTGTACAAAGGTAGAATAATCAATAATGCATTCATTTTACCAAAAAGTAATACAAGTATTCATTCACTCTTGCTCTAATTAGTTTTTGTGCTTGCATAATAAGGAACACATGAGAACGTACTTGATAAAAAAATTCAAACAAATGAAAGTTCAAACAAAATAAAAATACCTGAAATAGAAAATAGAATTTTTCCAACTTTAGAGATGGACAAATATTAGGTGCTCCTAATCTCAATAAACATTATATCTCCATTTTTTATATCACTTGCTCCTAATATCAATAAATATTATATCTTCATTTTTTAGAAAATCAGACATTTTTTTTAATATTATATCTTCATTTTTTTAGCAAATCAAACATTTTTTAGCATTTATTCTAATTGATTATAATTTAAAAAATAATCGATTGTAATTTCTTTAAAGGGAAAGAAAACATATCTAGTCATTGAACATCATTAAGGTGATATCTGAATTGCTTGGGGCGTAAATTTGAATTAATATAATCGATTAGACCAAAAACCCAATCGATTAGATAAGTGAAGTGTTTCCCTCTAGATATTTCCACATCTTCTAAGTCATTTGGAGCTACTCTAAGGGTTTTAGTGTGGGTGCGTTTAGGGCGAAAAATATAGTTGTCCCTTTATACAATGATGGAATAATTAATAATGCATTCATTTTGTCAAAAAGTAATATATCTATTCATCCACTCTTACTCTAATTAGTTTGTATACTTGTATTAGAAGGAACACGAAAACTTACTTGATTAAAATTTCGAAACAAACGAGAGTTCAAACAAAATAAAAATAACTTAAATAGAAAATAGAATCTTTATAACTTTATAGATTGCTCCTAATCTCAATAAACATTATATCTCTATTTTTATATCACTTGCTCCTAATCTCAATAAATATTATATCTTCATTTTTTAGCAAATGAAACACTTTTTTAGTATATAATATCTTCATTTTTTAGCAAATCAAATATTTTTTTAGCATATTATATCTTCATTCTTTTAGCAAATCAAACTTTTTTTTAGCAAATAAAACTTTTTTTAGTATTTATTCTAATCGATTATAATTTAAAAAATAATCGATTGTAAGTTCTTTAGAGGAAAAGAAAATATATCTAGTCAATGAATATTATTAAGGTGTTTTCTGAATTATTTGGGGAGTAAGTTTGAGTTAAGTGTTTCTCTCTAGATGTTTCCACATCTCCTAAGTTATTTGGCACAACTCTAAGATATTTTTTTAAGATGTTTTCCATTTGATAAAATCATTTGAAAAGGATTTTAGTGTGTGCGCGGCCACTTATGGACAAAAATATATCTGTCCCTTTATACAATAGTAGAATAATCAATAATGCATTCATTTTGTCAAAAGTAATACATGTATTTATTTACTCTTGCTCTAATTAGTTTGTATGTTTCTATAAGAACACATGAGAATAAATTTTCAAAAAATGGGAGCTCAAGCAAAATAAAAATAACTGAAATAGAAAATAGAATCTTTCCAACTTTAGAGATGGACAAATATTACTTTCTCCTAATTTCAATAAACATTAAATCTCCATTTTTTATATCACTTGCTCCAAATCTCAATAAATATTATATCTTAATTTTTTTACAAATCAATCATTTTTTAGTATATTATATCTTTAATTTTTAGCAAATCAAACATTTTTTAGCATTTTTTCTAATTGATTAGAATTTAAAAATAATCGATCGTAAGTTCTTTAAAGGGAAAGAATATATATATATATATATATATATATATATATATATATATATATATATATATATATATATATATATATATATATATATATATATATATATATATATATATATATATATAGTTGTTGCACATCATTAAGTTGTTGTCTAAATTGTTTGGGACGTAAGTTTGAATTAATCTAATCGAGTCAAGTGTTTTCCTCTAGATATTTTCACATCTATTAAGTCATTTAGAACAACTCAAAGACAATTTAAAAAAAAAATTCTCTTTGATAAAAACATCTCAAAAGAGTTTGTGTGTGTGTGCGTTTATGGCGAAAAATGTATATGTTAATGCATTCATTTTGTCTAAAAGTAATACATCTATTCATTCATTCTTGCTCTAATTAGTTTGTATGCTTGCATAAGAAGGAACACATAAGAATGTAGTTGATTAAAATTTTTAAACAAATGAGAGTTTAAACAAAGTAAAAATAACTGAAATAGAGAAAAGAATCTTTCTAACTTTAAAGATGGACAAATATTAGTTAGCTCCAAATCTCAATAAACATAATATCTCCATTTTTATATATCACTGGCTCATAATCTCAATAAATATAATATCTTTATTTTTTAGCAAATCAATCATTTTTTAGAAAAAATAATCGATTGTAAGTTCATTAATTAGGAAAGAAAATATATATAGTCGTTGTATATCATTAAAGGACTAGATAAGTCAAGTGTTTCCCTCTAGATATTTCCATATCTCCTAAAGTGATTTTGCACAATTCTAAGATATTTTTGAAGATGTTTTCTCTTTGAGAAGTCAAGTGTTTCCCTCTAGATATTTCTACATCTCTTAAAGTCATTTTTCACAATTCTAAGACATTTTTGAAGATGTTTTCTCTTTGAGAAAAACATTTTAAAAGGGTTTTAGTGTGTGTGCTCGCTTATAGCGAAAAATATATTTGTCCCTTTGTACAAAGGTAGAATAATCAATAATGCATTCATTTTGCCAAAAACTAATACATGTATTTATTCACTCTTGCTCTAATTAGTTTGTGTGCTTGCATAAGAAGAAACACATGAGAACGTAAATATTAGGTGCTCCTAATCTCAATAAACATTATATCTCCATTTTTTATATCACTTGCTCATAATCTCAATAAATATTATATCTTCATTTTTTAGAAAATCAAACAATTTTTAGCATATTATATCTTCATTTTTTTAGGAAATCAAACATTTTTTTAGCATTTATTCTAATCGATTGTAATTTAAAAAATAATCGATTGTAAGTTCTTTAGATGCAAAGAAAATATATCTAGTCGTTGAACATCATTAAGGTGTTGTCTGAATTGCTCTAGATATTTCCATATCTCCTAATTCATTTGGTTTCCTCTAGATATTTTCATATCTCCTAATTCATTTGGCACAACTGTAAGACATTTTTGAAGATGTTTTCTCTTTGATAAAAACATTTGAAAAGGATTTTAGTGTGTGCGTGTTTATGGCGAAAAATATATTTGTCCCTATATACAAGGGTAGAATAATCAATAATGCATTCATTTTTCCAAAAAAATAATACATCTATTCATCCACTCCACTCTTACTCTAATTAGTTTGTATGCTTGAATTAGAAGGAACACATGAATGTACTTGATTAAAATTTTCAAACAAATGAGAGTTCAAACAAAATAAAAATAAGTGAAATAGAAACTAGAATCTTTCCAACTTTAGAATAGGACAAATATTAGTTGCTTATAATCTCAATAAACATTATATCTCTATTTTTTATATCACTTTCTCCTAATCTCAATAAATATTATATCTTCACTGTTTAGCAAATCAAATATTTTTTTAGCATATAATATCTTCATTTTTTAGAAAATCAAACATTTTTTAGCATATCATATCTTTATTTTTTAGCAAATTAAACATTTTTTAGTATTTATTTTAATTGATTATAATTTAAAAAATAATTGATTGTAAGTTTTTTAGAGAGAAAGAAAATATATCTAGTTATTGAACAGCATTAAGGTGTTGTCTGAATTGTTTGAGCGTAAGTTTGAATCTATTAGATATTTTCACATCTCCTTAGTGATTTGGCACAACTCTAAGACATTTTTGAAGATGTTTTCTCTTTGATAAAAATATTTGAAAAGGGTTTTAATGTGTGTGCACGCGTTTATGACAAAAAAATATAGTTATCCCTTTATACAATGGTAGAATAATCAATAATACATTCATTTTGCTAAAAAATAATACATTTATCCATTTACTCTTACTCTAATTAGTTTATATGTTTTCATAAAAAGAAACACATGAGAACGTACTTGATTAAATTTTCAAACAAACAAGAGTTCAAACAAAATAAAAATAACTAAAATAAAAAATATAATCTTTTCAATTTTAGAGATAGACAAATATTACTTACTACTAATCTCAATAAATATTATATATCTATTTTTGTATCACTTGTTCACAATCTCAATAAACATGTTATCTCCATTTTTTATATCAATGTGAATTTGACAAAATAGTCCCTCTAATTTTATCAAATTGACCGTGATAAAAAAAACACTATCAACTTTAACTAATTACGTTTATTTATTAAAGACCCTACAATTCTTGCGAATTTCGCCTTGATTTCCAACCAAAACCCCAACTTTTCCCATCTTTATCATAGCATTTGCAAAACTCTTTCCGAACTTGTCACCATTTGAAGCAAAATTAGACACAAAAGTACTTGTGGATTTGTCCAAAGCAAGTTGCTGATCAATCTGCATTACACCTCTCTTCAAAAGAATCTGCTTGTAAAATTCATTATCAAAAACAAAAGAAGTATTCTGATCCAAAAAAGCAGCAGCAGTATTACTTGACTTGCACAGGTTAACAAGCTTAGTATCCAATGCAGGATCCATTGTAGGATCAGGCTTCTCTCTATTGCTAGATAACCGACTCAAGAAAAAACCACAGTGAGCTACACCGACGGTATGTGCTCCCAAAAGTGTCACCATTTCTTCCACTGTGATTCCTTTTGCTGCAAAAAATTTTTTTAGATCTGGTATAGCAATGCCTGGTCCTGGTAAATCAACATCATTTCTGTTAGAGACTAATCCGTCGCGTCTTCCGGTTGGAACGTTGTATTTCGGTCCTCCTGATAAGGCCACAGCATCTCTTGTTGCAAGTGCTATGATGTCTGCACATGAAACTGTTGAAGGACATGTAGCTTCGATTGCTTCCTTTACGTCGTCGATTAAATCGAAACCTCTAACGCTTGCGTTTGCGCCTGTTTGTTTCTCTGATGTGGTGTTCTTGGTTGGGTCTATGAGGAGGGATGCATCACAACCCTAAACATGGATGAAAATGTTTGATATGTATTAATAAAAATTTTAAGTAATACTATATATAAAAAATCAAATCAAAATAATTTTGCAAAAATCTTTAACCTATTTTGTATATTAGAGATATTGACCGTTTGATTATCTAATTATGAGAAGTGATCTCTCAGTTAGATAACAACGACCAATCTCTGATTATAAATACATGAGAAAATTGAAACAGATAACTTTTTGTGCAAGTTATATTATCACATACTATGAAGAAACTAATACTTGGAATATATTTAACTAGCTAGTTCTTACTCTGACAAAACAATCATGAAAATGCAAGCGAAGCAAGGCGGCGGTTATCGTTTTGTCACGGCTGAATCGTTTCTGCACAACTTGTTGCACAATTGACTCGGCTTTTCGGCAAGAAGAGGCATAGAATCCTAATTGGAGATCAGCAAATGCCAAGGGAAGTAGAAAGAAAAAGAGGATGATTGATATGAGCTTCATTTTGAGACTTTTGAGTTTGCTCTTACTCTCTTAATTAATATATTGTCTGATCTAATGTTTGTTAATACTATCTTATAAAGAAAATTTGATTTCTATATATAGGTAGAAAATCAAAGAGGCTTCTCACATTAGTTGAAATTGTCGCCTTTTCATAATGACTTGCTAGCTAATGAGCTAATAGAGCCAAACTAAACTATGGATTGATAAGACTTTTAAGAATAGAATTATTGAATTCAATTAACATTGAAATTTGGACTGATTCATTATTCCTTTTGTTGAATGCATAATGGTAGCCTACGTAAATGTTCACCATAAGATTACAAATTATATCATATAGTTTAATTTGATTTATTATTGTTACCATAGAAATATAGAATATATTGACAGAAAAACCACTCAAGTATATTTGTGAAACTTGAACTAATTTAGAAACTATTTTCTTACGTGGGATGAAATTTAGTAATTCAAGTGATCGTAACCGGTTAATATGGGATGTAATCGATTACAATCGGAAGAAAAAACATTTCTGAAAGTAAGAAAAGCATTTTTGAGTTGGCATTAACCGGGTATGCATACACGTTAATCGGTTACACCTGACAATTTGTATTTTCTGTTTTGGTCTATGTAACCGGTTAACAGTTTGTGTTAACCAGTTACGAGTCCAAATTTTAGTTTTTTCTTGTACTTTAGTGAGTTGTTTTAGGTCTCAATCATTTTATAACACTTGTATAAATGACTTGGAGGCATCCTCGTCTCAAGCTAATGAAATTATTTGTTCTTACATTCAATTACTCTCTCTAATTCTCTCTTCTCCCTCACTATCTTCTTCTCCACATGCCCTAAACCCCCATTTTTCACCAATTGTATGATTGTATGTTCCAACATTTGATATCAAGAGTCTAGTTCTTATTCATAATTCGTTGTGCAAACATGAATGTCGTCTACAATGATAGAGTTCCTACAAGCCTACCTACCAACCCTTGATGTGAATAATTACGACAAATGGTGCAAGGAAATGATGTTGTTGTTTGGCTATCAAGATGTTCTTGAAGTGATCAAGAATGGGGTGAATCCCCTTGTTGAATGTGCAACGGATGCACAAAAGGCTTACAAGGATTATGTGACGTGAATTGTGCGATTGAAGAATCAAATTAAGTCTTCTGGAGAAACTGTTTCGGAGAAGAATGTTGTGTCGAAGATCTTGCATTCTTTGACAGCAAGACTTGACAATATCATAGTGGCGATTGAAGAGTCGGAGGATCTTCCGCCGTTGATTAAATATGAACTTCAAATCTCTCTTGAGGCTCGTGAGCAAAGGATGGATGAGAGGAGTAACAACAAGGAAAAGACGGAGTTCCCTTTACAAGCACGGTTCAATGAGAAGAATAAGAAGTCGAAAGGAAAATGGCTCATGAAGAATAAAAGGAATTTTCAGAATTTTGGTAGAAAAGAGTCTCAAAATTCAAAGAGTTCGAGTTATTAAAAGGATGAGAGCAGTTGCAACAAAAATGATGGTCAAGGCAACTTTAGAGGTGAAATTAAGAAGTTTGACAAGAGAAAGGTACAATGCTTTAATTGTCAAAAGCTTGCTCATTTCTTAAGAGAATGCAATGAAAAACAGAGAGTATCTTAAGGAGATGTGTAACACCCCAATTCTACCCGGCAATTATATAAGCAAATCAGAGTCATAAAATTCATGCAACTGAATCAAGATGTCAAAAATTCAACTTTAAAACACATTGCATTCAACGTGGATACATAACACTTTAAAACTTCGGATGAACCGTCAGCATAATAATTTAATCTCTTAATTCAACAACTTGAACATCTACGCAGCGGAATCATAATAACATCTTTGTCCAACAATTACAACAACTTCAAAATAATGCATACTTAGCAACAAATGAATTAAAGTTCAACAACTGAAATAATCAATAACTAAAAGCAACAAGCGTTCATCCCCCCGAGTGTTACGTATCAGAGCAATGACACCAGCTCGAACTACTGAAGGTATACCGCCTTCACTCTGGATTACCTGCACATTACCAACGTAAGGGCAACATTCAAACAGAAGGGTGAGATATCTAACAATATAATAAAACGTATGATAGATAATATATTAAATTAGATCACATAACATCACCACTTCTCATCTTATAAACAATAATAATCGCAACAGAATACCAACAATAATACACATTCACTGCATCAATACACAACTTCTTTATGCAATCATATAATGCGACTCAATACTATGCAAATGCATGTGGTACCATTGGAGCAGAACTCCCATCTCAAATAACTGCTAATAAATAGAGGCATGAACAAGGCATAAGCCTTCATCTTAATATTCTCCAATACAGGCCATCTTAACGAGCATCAACTCCATCTTGAAATGCAATGTATGTGACGCAATCATGAATGTAATAACAACAACCATAATTAACAACATCTCAACACCACATCATCGTTGGCCAGAAGCCTACATCTTAATAGCTGTCAATTATTAGAGGCATATCAACATCATTCATCAATATCATTCATCAACATCATTTATCAACATAATTCATCAATACAATTTACCAACATAATTCATCAATATCATTTATCGTCATAATTCATAGTAACTCAACCATAACAATAATACAACGGCAGGTCGACAATCCTTCAACGTTGGCCATAGGCCTACAACATGATATTACCTATAATTAATTAATCATCTAAGTATTACCTCTAGTTAATAACCTCTACATATTATTATTCTGTAATACTACAGCATTATCATTATTAATCTTACTGTTATGAACCAAACAGTAATCTATAATCATCTCATCCTCATCATACTTCACAAAATCATCATAGCGATTTACGCGGGAAGCTAACTCTAGTCTTAAATTGGGTTACTAGGATTATTCCTCTTATCCTTCATTTTAATCCTTAAGAATGAAGTTCACCGCGCTAGCTATCCAACGCTTCGAACGGCACCTCAAACGGAGTCCGGAAACTCAAGTTACAGCCTTTGGAAACGAATCTGACAAAAATCAGACTACATGAGTCGACACATAACGTCTTGAGTCGACGCGTACTGGGCTTAACACGCTGCATGAGTTGACGCGTAATCCCTTTGTATCGACTTATACTGAGTCTGCAACACTGCATGTATTGATGCATGCTCCTTCGTATCGACTCATCCTGAGTCAAAAAAACTACATGTATTGACGCATGGCTTCTTCGTATCGACTCATCCTGAGTCTAAAAGCCTTCATGTATCAATGCATGGCTTTTGGGGTCGACACATACTGTTCTGTCATGAATATTTTCTGCGATTTCACTGCATTTTCACTACGGTTTCCATGCTTTAGACCCTAAAAACATCCTTTAATCATAGGTAATCATCAATTATAATAATCCTATATTTTTACATCAATTATACATCATTAGGGCATCATTACTCATCTCTAAATCATCGATACTCCTCAAATAATAATATATATAATTCAATCATAACAAAACACCCTTTCACATCTAATTCCACATACTAATCATCATAAACCTTATTATAGAGTCAGAACCCCACCCTTACCTTGGATTGAAGGTTGCTCTATAACTTTTCCGGTTGAATTTCATTCTGCCTCTTTTCCTCCTTTTCTGCAACTTTCACGTTCTCTTTCTCTTCTTCCAACCCTTATTTCCTTCTCTTCTTACAGCTTCTTCTTTTTCCTTATTATTTCTAAAAACTAATATAATAACCTTGTAATTCTTATTATGTCTTAATGGGCTTAAAACTCTTGCACCCCCTTTCTACTACTTCTATTCCTTAAAACAAGCTCACATCAAACAATATTATCATTCTAATATTATTCCACAACTTAATAGAATAAATAAATCCAATAACAACAACACATCATTTATCATCATAACACAACTTCACAAATAATCCAAGAATAATTTAATTAAATTAATTAAATTACGGGCGTTACAAGATGAAGCTAAGGTTGTTGGACAAGAGGTGGATGATGAGAAACGCTCTTGGTCATGATCACGCAAAGATAATGCAGCAGCGGCAGCGACAGCAATAGCAGCTCCAGGAACGCCGCATAAACGTTTGTGAAAGAAAATATTATGGTGACTGTGATAGAAGGATTCCAATGAAGTGAAGAATGGTACTTGGATTCTGGTTGTTCTACGCATATTATGGGTAGGAAAGATTGTTTTGTCAAAAGCAATCAAGTCACGAAGAATAAAGTGAAATTTGCATATGATACCACTTTAACGGCTGATGGGATCAGTGATGTTTTGATCATGACAAAGGATGGTGGGCATTCTTTGATCAAATATGTATTGTACATTCCTAGAATCAAATGTAACCTGTAAGTATTTTCCAATTGCTAAAGAAAGGTTACAAAATTCGCATGGAAGACAAGATTTTGCACGTTATGAATGCAAACACGGTTTTGGTCCTTAAAGCTCTTATGGCTTGCAATATAACTTTCAAGATTGAGTTGAAAGTGATGGAGCATAAATATCTTGCTACAATGGAAAGTCGAGTTGAGTGGCTGTGGCATTATCGTCTTGGGCATCTCAATTTTTTTCAAGATCTCAATTCATTGCAAAGGAACGGAATGGTAACCGGGTTACCATCCATCAACATTTCAGCTGAGATTTGTGAAGAGTGTGTGCAAGCGAAGCAACACAAAGGTAAATTCAGCAAGGGTGCATATTGTAGAACCAAGCATTACCTTGAAGTGGTGTATTTCAATGTATGTGGGTCGATGCAAGTTGATTCATGTGGTGGCAATAGGTATTTTATCACGTTTATCAACAATTGTAGTATAAAGCCATGGACATACCTAATCAAGAGAAAGAATGAGGTATTTGAAGTATTTAAGAAGTTTAAGTCCATGGTTGAGCAACAAAGCGGTCACAAGCTCAAAGTTCTCAAAACAAATGGTGGAGGCGAGTATGTCTCAAATGACTTTAGCAAAATGTCAACAAGTTAAACTCAAACGTTAACCGGTTACATATAGGCATTAATCGGTTACAGGAAAACGTTAATCGGTTACACGCATAATTTTTTGGACTCTGGAGAATCTGAAACTACAGAACAGCCGCGCGTCAAAGCTAGAACTGATGAAAATGTGAGACGACCAACTAGGCAAAGAGGTCTATTGGTTGCAGAATTCTCTTTCTCACAATGGATACGTATAAAAAATACAATTTACTCAGTTTTACTGATTCCTATTGGTGTGAAGATAAAGATGATCGTAAGTCTATATCTGGATACATATTTATGTTTGGTAGAACACCAATCTCATGGTGTTTGAATAAGGAATCGGTTGTTGTATTCTCGTCTTGTGAGACCGAGTATATTGTCGCTTTATTATGTGCATCAAGTCGTATGGCTAATGAATTTATTGTAAAAATTGGGCAGCAATGTGAGTGAGGTTGTCACACTCTTGGTTAATAATGTTTCAGACATTAATCTTGCTAAGAACTCAATTACACATGGGAGGAGCAAGCACATTGAGATGAAGTTTCACTACTTGAGGGAGTTTGTTAGTGAAGACAAGTTAAGATTATTATATTGTATAAGTGAAGACCAAGTTGTTGATTTGTTGACTAAGGGTGTCACAAATGATGTGTTCAAGAGGTTGAAGATAAGCATGGATATGGAGGACTTGGAGCACTTGGAGTACTTGAATATGAAAGCCTAGTAATTCAAGTGATGTAACCGGATAACACGGGAGTGTAGCCTATTACAGCTGTAAGAAAAGACACTTTTGGAATCAAGAAAAGCACTTGTGAGTTGGCATTAATCGATTATTCATACGCGTTAACCGCTTACGCGTAACAATTTGTATTTTTGTTTCGATCTGTGTAACCAATTATGAGTCTGGCTTTTAATTATTTTTTTTCTTGTACTTTAGTGAGTTGTTTTAGGTCCTAATCATTTTGTAACACTTGTATAAATATTTTAGAGGCATCCTCATCTCAAACTAATGATATTGTTCATTTTTACCATCAATTACTCTCTAATTCTCTCTTCTCTCTTACTATCTTCTTCTCTACGTACTTTAAATTTCTGTTCACCAATTATATAATTGTAGCTTCCAACATTTTAAAGTATTTTAGTTCTCTATATTGCAATATTAATTCGAAAGATTAAAATGTATAAGAAATAAATATTTGGAGGACTAAAATAACTATTTCTTTTATAATAGAGATTAAATTTAAAATTTTATAATAACTAATAAAATATTTAATTTTTTTAATATAAATGAAACTCCAACCTCATACAATTGTTAATCATCGTTTTGTGTACTAAGAATTTGTGATAGAATTCAATATTGTTTTAAGATTAAATGTTATATTTAAAATTGTGCATGGATTTTAAAGAAATTATTAAATGAAATTATTTTAATAATAAAACTATTATTTATTTAAATATATTTATTAACTTTAGTCAATGGAGTAGTTAAATAAAATTAAATTTGATAATTATAATATAATATTGGGAAAATTATATTTTTAATTCTAAAATGATAATTATTTTGAGATAGAAAAACATATAAATATAACACTTTTATTTTCTTATAATTGGCTACAAACAACTTTTTTATGAAATAGAGCGAGTAATAGTATCAATTATTTAATGAAGATCATAGTTGACATTCGTCATAGTAAAAGTTATATTTAAATTTTTAGGGATGATTAAATTTGACATTGTAGAATCCGCTCAAGTCAGAGCCTGCAATAACTTGTCTCTTTTGCCTTTCCTTGATATTTCTATCTTAATTTCAACTTCACTTCAAAATAAATATTGCAACTGGGTTATTTTTGTGTCCTCGATTTTTAATTGTATAGTAAAAATACAAATTTAGTCTCACTCACCAAATCAGATTAAACTTTCATTATTTATAGGTCGGCAAATTGGAGAGCCTTGTTTTTTTGTGCTCTGCTTCTGATAAAGAATATACAAGAAGGCATTTTTTTACTCTCTTTTTAAAAATAAAATTTGTTTAAAAAAATATCAATCTTATTTTTAATATAAATAATTATTATTTTTTCAATTATATTATTTAATTAAACTATTTCGAACAAATTATTAAAATTAATTTTATAAATTAATATTTTATAATAATATTATTGTATTTATTAATTTACGTAAAAAGTTTAACGACACTTATTTTAAAATAGAAAAATATAATTTTAGTTTGGTAAAAATAGCATATTTGATTCTTATCAATTATCTGATCATTTAATATTTTAAGTGAATTTTATCAAGATTGTAGAATTTTTTTAAAAATTACTAAGTTTTTCAAATTAAATACTCCAATAATCAACCTTTCAAATTAAATATCAAACTAACTATATTTTAAAAAAAAACGTTAACTTAAGAGGATGTACCACTTACTTTTTGTATATACACTCAATTTTAAAGAACATGTGCACACCCCTTCACATGAGTATTATGTAATTTTTAATAAAAAAATTAAAATTATTATTAATTAAAAAAAAAATACATAATACATTCATGTATTAAGGGAATTGGTGGTGTTCTTTATCAATCGATGGATGTATCATTGACAGACATATATCGTATATGTATGCGCCATTGTTTGTAGTTTTTATGATTTTTATGCCCAAAATTGAATGCATGTGACATAGTAAGTGGCGCGTCAGTTTTGAATATGCTACCTTTGTTATTTAATTAAAAAATTATTTAATTAAAAGAAAATGAATAGTTAACTGACATTAATAATAAAGTCACAAAGGAATGAATACTCAAAGTCAGCCAAGCGCATCCTCTTATATTAGTTTTTTTGTTTGAACCAGGTTTAGTCTGATATTAATTTGAAAGGTTGATTATTGGAGTATTTAATTTGAAATTTTTGTTATTTAAAAAAAAAACTCTTACTAGTAACCAATCAAATTTTAATAATTTAAAATATTCAAATAATTTGTCCAAAAAAATAGTAATTTAAAAAAAAAAATTCTTACTAGTAACTAATCAAATTTTAATATTTTAAAATATTTAAGTAATTTTTTCAAAAAAAAAAGGAAGTTTCATTCAAATCTTATTGAGTTGTTAAAATAATATATACAAACAAATTTAATATCACTTTTGATTTTTGATTCGGATACAATATTAAATAGTAGCTTTTTTTATTTAATCGATCAATTTTAATCTACGTAATGAATCGAATAATTTTATTTCGTGATTTATAGTGGTTGATATAATAAAAAAAATTGTTATTTATGTCATATTTGAATAATAAAAGAACTTCTAAACTATAATAAATAAAAGATAATAAAATGAACACAATTAAGTATTTCCACTAAAAAAAGATTTATAAGTAGTACATAACTTGCAATTGTGGTTAATGTTTACCAAAATGGGAGAAAAGATAAAATATACAAGTATAAGATTCTCAATCCTTTTTTTTACAACTTTTTAATTTTTAGTTTGACTGTATTAATTGCATTTTTTTGCATCATATCTTATTTTGTGGTAAAAAAAAAACTCTTGTGATTATGTATCTAATAATTTACAAATCTGATCTGAATGACAATCATACTCAACATAGATTTCATAACTTTTTTTATAAACATATTTCATAATCATTTATTATTCAAAAATGCATATAAGAGAAAATATAAATAAAATCATACCAAACTATAACTCATAATTAACATAAACTAGAAATAACAAATTGATCTTATGACTTGTGCCCGCGCATCCATTGGCAACAGTTAATGCACAAAAGCCGGCGGAAAAGAAATGTAAACCACATTATTAGTCGTGGCAAACAATAATTTAAGTAAGATTTTCTGGAATTTATACCTAACTATTCATAAATAAGAAGGACACTCCTTAAACCAACTCGCGCCAATAAACAAAATACTTACAGATTCAAGTTGTTGCCATGATAGTATTGATCCACAACCTCCAAATTTATCATTTGAACATCCATAAATCACTTCCTTTATACCTGACAAATTATTAAATTAGAAAGGTATTATTAAGACAGATACTGATATAGATTGTACAATTGAGGAAAATACCTAAATTTGATCAAGCAGATGCGCACATTATGCATATTTCACAGGTAACATAAAGACTGCGGTTTGAGAATTTTTTAGCAACATCAGTCATTGAAAGTCCATTTTTCTGCCACTGTTCTAGAAGCACGTCTATAGCTTCCATTTCAGCATGTCTTGTAGCCTGTAAAATATTGATTTAGTAATACTAAAAAATTATTTAGTAATATTAATGTCTCTCTATCTACTAAACTTTCATAATCCAAGTTTCACAAAAGTTTCCAATGTAGAAAGGTATAAAATTCAATAGTAATCCATAGCTCTAAACTATTGATTATCAAAGGAGATGGTTTCAATTATGAAGATGACCTTAAAAAAAACAGAAAAGTGACCCTGATCAGATTACATTTCGTGTCTCGGTAGTTCGATTCCTTCCTGAGGCTACAACCTTGCCATCCTCAACAATTTTAATAGCTGTCAACAGATATTAAAATTTACATAAATATAATAGTCATTGATCAAATTCACTTTAACCAGTTTAACACCAAACAAATTACAGGATGACCACCCGAAAGTACAAGTAAATGTTGATGCAAATTGTTTTCATGGTTATATTATGTTAAAGGATAAATCAGTATACCGTAACTATCAAACAAATTAATCTCTGACTTTGCATGCAAATCCATTCAATAATAACCACATGTAGACCAATAGGACGAAATAAATAGGGCATTCCTAGCCAACACCTCAATTTCCACGAAAAATACTACTCATCCCAAAATGATGAAATAGTTTCTGATATCAGCCATCTAATTGCAAACTAAGTTGCCTTCGACATAACACCAACACCTCTGAAAAAGTATACCTGTGAAAATGTAGGTGTCGGAAACTGACACAAATATTTGTGATTACGTTTAATTTATTTATTTTTTAAAATTATTACTGGTGTCGACATGTCAATGTCGTGTTTCAGGTGTTTGTGCTTCGTAAGTTACCATATAGAATGCATTTCCATGACTTGATGCAAACATCTAGCATCAGGGATCAATGATACTATCCTAACACTTTATAATCTTAACAACATCAATCAATGACAATTTATACTTCTAGTGGCATTCAAGCATTTTAAAATTGCAAAGGTAGCTTACCCAACAGGTACTTCAAGGGCATCCATAGTTAACTTTGCCTGTCACATGAAATAAATGGAATTCAATTCTACAAAATAAACGGTGTGATTAGAAATAAATGGAATTCAATTCTACAAAATAAAAGGTGTGATTAGATTTAATTTAATTTTTTTAATTATTACAGATGTCACTTTGTTAGTGTCGGATAGGTCGTTTTAGGGGGTGTACGTGCTTCATAAAAGAAGGAGAAAACAATTAAAAATTGTACTAGAGATAATAAAAGTTTTAATTTAGGACCGTGGGTTGTAACAGAAATAAGCTATTGTACTAGAAACTGAAACTTCTTGATCGTTATCATCTTCCTCTCTAGTCTCTTACGCCCTTCTTTTTTCTTTCCTCACTTTTCTTGTTCCTGTGTTATGAATCTTGCCCTGGTATGAGGACAACTAAGGTTATGAATCTTTCCTCTGCTTTATCAAATTTAGGTATTTTCTTTCATAATCATTTTTCTTGTTACCTGTTCCATTTTCCTCACTTTTCTTATAGCTGAGCCATTTTGTTCATGAATATGAGGACAACTCATCCTATGTGTTATACTATGATCATTGAGAAATTTAGAGGAAAAAAAATACTTTTTTCCTCCATCAGTTTGTGGAGATTTAATGTTAAAATCAAGTTGGTTTTCAATTAAAGTTTTAAAATAAATGAAATAAGATAAGGTCAAAGATTTATTTTATTTCGTAAGAGATAGATTTAAATTACATATATTTTTGATTTAAAATAAAAAAGAAGGAAATTGAGGTATTTTATTTATAAATATGTTTCGTTTAGAATGAGAGGAAAAAAAATTTAAAATTAATTTACCTTTATATTCTTATAATTTTATTATAAGACTCATGATATTTACCGTTTATAATTTAAAATACAAATTTAATTTTCAATCAGAAAATATTCTAAAAAAATTTATAATAACGTAACTATTATGATAAATAATTTTAAAAAGATTATCAAATATAATAAAATATAACAAAAATTATTATAAATAAAAATATTATGATAATTAAAAAGTAACATTAAAATATATTAAATAAAAGAAAAAAATTTAAACACATATAATGATAATAAGATAAAGATATGAAAATACAAAAAATATAAAACAAAGATAAAATTTATTTAAAATAGAGTTTTTAACATTAAATTAAATTTATATTTAAATAAATAAATAAGAATAAATACGTAAATATAAGTATAATTAAAATGAAATGTCTCATCTCTTCCAAATTTCTCTAAATTGAAAGAAAGCAAAAAGAGATTTATGACGAATTTTAGTCCCACTTCATCTCTCTTTCCTCTCCCTATTAAAATGTAAATCAAATATATCAATGATTAGATATTTTCTCTTCTCTTCTCCATTTACTCTCAACTAAATAGTCTCTAAAAGATATATCCAACTATATTTAAAAGAAGAAGAAAAACATCCTTAAAATGCAGATAATATTTGCTAGTATTTGTTGAATGAATGGGAGCATAATCCCAAATGTTAGACTAGATTAATTGAAGAGGAGTATTATAAGTTGTCAAGGAATCAATAAGAAAGGAAGTTTATGAGATTTACCAAGACAACAAACTTTACAAACAAAAGTTGTTTTGTTGATATTGTGTTGAATATTACTACTAGTTAAGGCAATAGAGGGAATCATATTTGATGCATAAGAAAGTATTGCATGACATATATTATTTTTATAAAGCGGAAGAGTTATGATTATGAAAGTAAGCAGAGTTATACTTATAACATTGAGGGCATTTGGAAGCTTAACGAGGTCAAAAGCATATAAACCATTTATAATATTTCTTTCAAGGAGAGTATTTTTACTGACTTGGGATTTTATATAGAAGTGGTTATCATGAAACATAAAGTTATTGATATAAAGTGGGTGGGTGTTTAAGTTGAAACATAATATTGATGGGTTGATAGTAAGACATAAGGCGAGATTGGTAGCTCGAGGATTTATTTAGAGAGCAGGACTCGACTACTCTGAATTATTTACTCCAGTAGTAAGATTAGAGATTGTTCGACTAGTGGTAGTCTTGGTGTGTAAGCAAGGTTGGTTGACATTTCACTTAGATGTGAAATCGGCATTTTTAATAGACTCTTAGACGAAGAGGTCTATGTCACACAACCTTTTGGATTTGTGATTCAGAAGGAAGCGAGTAAGGTGTATAAGTTACACAAAGCGCTTTATAGTCTCAAGCAAACACCTAGGACATGGAATAAGAAGATCGACGCATACTTAATCGAATTGGAATTCGTAAAATGAAAATTCGACCATGGTATCTATGTTCAGGTTGTGGCACAAAATATAACAATCATCTACTTATATGTCGATGACTTGTTGGTAACTAGAAATGACTTGGAGAACTTGTCGAAGTTCAAAGAACTGATGATGAGGGAATTTGAAATGTCGAATTTGAGAAAACTGTCTTATTTCCTAGGCATGGAATTTCAAATGTCGAAGCAAGGAATTGTGCTACATCAAAGGAAGTATGTTAAAGAGATACTCAAGAGATTCATGATGGATGATTTGACTCCAGCATCTTTGTGCGTCGAACCAAATTTGAAGTTAGAGAAGCGTGGAGAGGAAGACAAAGTCGATGTAACTTTGTTTAAATAAATAGTTAAATCTCTGAAATATGTATGCAACAGTTCAAATCGACAACAAGTCAGCCATAAATCTTGCAAAGAATCCAGTTTTGCATGGAAGGAGTAAGCATATAGAAGCTAGATTTCACTTTTTAAAGGAGAAAATAAATCGATGTGAACTTGAAGTAAAGCATAATTGGCCGATATTTTCACCAAAGTATTGAAGATCGACATATTCTTGAATTTGATCAAGAAATTATGAATAGTTCAGATCGACTATGATTAATGTATGTTCTACAATTGGATTATATGAGATTATATTGAGATATAAGATATAATCTAAGTGGAGTAATCCAAACCCAAGTCCAAGTAGGGTTTGTTAGCCTACTTAATATAAAAGTTAGTTGTATATAAATAAACATAATTTGTAATTAAGTTTGTACAATTCAATTCAGTAGAATCCTTGTTTTATTATTCTCTCTTTCTCTTCTCACTAAAAGTTCATCACACACTAACAATTTTGAAGAATTTTATATAAAAAAGAATGTATTATCAATATGATCCATGTGAGTTAAGTTACCATTAATCATCTTGATTGTATGATTTTCATTATATGTATTTTTTGGTTTGGAGGTTTGAAGCATTAAGGGTAATGTGAATGGTGGATCCTAAATTTGGATACCATTTAGATCATAAATTGTGTCAAAAATAACCATTAAAGCTAACATGGAGAGGAGTCTTGAAGATTCTTTGATTTGAGGATATGAAGGTTTGTTGACATTGGAAGAAGCTTGATAGTGATTATCAAACATGTACCAACAATCAAGATATGCGTGACCTAGTTTCTCACAAACTTATCATTGATTTACAACCATTTTCGTATCATTCATATTCTCCTCCCTCTCTTTGATAGAATATTTCTCTATTTCTTTGTCCTTTAAAATTTGATCTACTACCTATATTAAAGTATGGAGGTTAGAAGGTGAGTTAGAACACCTTTGAGAACTCCAATTGTTTGTTGCTTATATGTGACAAAGTTTTCATCATCTAATTGTGAGGTTTTTGAATTTTGAGGTCCGTCTGAATTCTGATGAGCCCCAAAAACTTCAACTCACTTGAATTTAATGTAACAATAAAAAAACAATTATAACTAACAAATTGAAATTATGTTGTTAATTTTGACTATGAACACCTATTACATACGAATCAAAGAATGTTATTAATTTTGTATGGAAAGAAAATTTTTATAATATTTTATGATATTAATGTATATACCCGTGTGTGACACGGGTTAAAATTTATTTAAGTAAATAAATTTATTTAAAATTAATTATAATTTACAAATAAAGTTATAATAACATATAATTTTTTTTTCAAATAATAAAATATTTATTGTTAATATATATACTTATACTAAATTTTATCCCAACAAATTGAAATGTATATGAAATAATGTGAAAAGGGGTCATTTTATAAAGTAATTCTAATAAAAGATCAACAATATTTCTAAATGACATAATTCATATAACATCTATTTGTGATTGTTGTCTCAATTACATAATTCATATACATTTTCAATTAATTATATCATTGTTGACTGTAAAAAGGCCCTGAATGACTATGAACTCATCACACAATTCAAGAGTTTTTCATGTCTTGTGGCATGGTTAGAATTGCTCCATTTCATAGCAATAGTTATCGCCCCAGATAATGCAACCAAACTCAGTCATCAAATTATAAATTATACCTTTCATTAAAATAAAAGAACTGCAGAGAATTAAAATAATTGGCACAATAAATAAGCTTAACTAATTCCAAGTCAGTCAATACTTTGTACGTAAACCCGTGCATGACATGGAATAAAATTTTGTATGTTAAAAAATATATTTTATAATTCATATCTTAAAAATATTTTTCTCTCATTCCAAAATAATTCAATAGAAAATAATTAGGAAAAAAAACAATTAAAAAAACACAAGAAAAATGTCTAGAATTTTTTACTCTCCCAATTAGACAACATGAAATACACAATGAGTAGAATGGGAATTCATGCCAAAGCTATACCTCAACACATAACAATAAAATGGGTAGCAAATAAAATGAAAACAAATGAAAATTCAAAATCCCGAATTCATTAGCAAGTGAAAGTAGATATAAAGTAGGTTGGCTACTCATTAGAAAAAATTTCATTAGAAGAAAATAATATCTGAATAATTAATAATGTTTTGTTAATTTTAAAATTATATTAAATTCATAATCCATAAAAAGGAAATTCTTTTAAATATTGCAAAAATAAATAAAATAAAATATTAATTAAATAACATTATTTATTTATTTATATGTATAATAAATATTCACAATTCAAAGAATTAGTCTCTAGTATGATATGTAGATAGAAGTATAAAAGTTTATTAAGGGTGCAATTATTACGTTTGTTTACTTTTAAAATCTAAAGTGTATTGACTATTGAGTGAGCATATATGTATTTATTCATATATTTATCTTCATGTTGTGTGATATAATATTTAAAATACATTATATTTATGTGCCAAAAAAACTATAATGATTGCATTGAATTTGTACACTAATCATTTCTACATTTCAGTTAAAATTTGAGTTTTTCCTGCATAAATATTTAAATCTAAAATATCATCCTTTTTTATTAACATAACGGAAGGACTAACGTGTCTCTGTTTTAATAGTTAAAGAATCCATTTGAACATTTTAAAAATTAAGGGACCAAATTAGATCCCAAAGTAAAGTTAAGAGATTAAAAATGATATTTTGTCAAAAATCAATAGATGGATCAAAAATACGTTTAAATCTATTATATTATTTCATAACTATAATTAGTCATATTACTGCTTATAATTGACAGATCCAAGCATACACATATCAACAGTTGGAAAAGTAATTGAGACAATAACTATATCATAGTTAAAGTTTCATCAATAACTAACTGTCTGAACTAGTTTTTTCTGTCAATGCTATACTATGGTTTCATCATTGAAGAAACTATAGAGTATAATTTGCAATTGTGGTTTACAATTACCAGAATGGGAGAAAACATAAATATACAAGTCCAAAGTTTTCAATCCCTAATATTGTAACACTCTAAAAGTCTAAGCAATAGTTTGGTTGTATTAGCAGCATTCTTTCCAACATACTTGCTCCAATAGCAGAACCCACATTACCAATCACATCATATCTTGTGGTAAAAAAATCTTGTGATTATGCAACCAATAATTTACAAATCAAATCTGAATGACAACCATTTTCTTAATTTGTCATTAGTTATTACAGTGCTGCGATGCATACTCAATCAAAACAGATATCATAACATTTTTATACGCATATTTCATACTTAACTATGTAAGAGATAAACAAGGGATATGTAAGTTACTCTACAAGATATTTTATTATTCAAATATACAGATAATAGATGCATGTCATATCATAACAAACTATAACTCATAATTAACATAAACTAGAAATAACAAACTGATCTCACAATATCATAAACAAACAAATCAATTCCTTGCAATTAATTTTAATATTAACCAATAAATATTCATTTAAAATTATAATACTTAATTTAATCAATGACATGCTTTAAAATAAAATACGTAGTTAATTCCCAACCCAACAACGGCTTCTGCCTGTGCATCAGTTGGCAACAGAAGCCGACAGAAAAGAAATACACACCACATTATTAATTGTGTGGCAAACAATAATTTACACAAGGCTTTCTGGGATGTATACCTAACAAATCATAAATAGGAAGGAGGCTGCTCGAACCAACTCGCACAAATAAACAAAATTCCTTCCCTTGGGAAAAACAAGAAAGTTTAATTGAAACCAACCCAGTGATATACAAATTCAAGTTGTCGCCTGATGTGCTAGAGGCCTGTGGGGTTTTGGAGCTGCAATGATATGAAAACATTAATTTGAAATTGAAAGGATAAAACTAAAAATAAATGAAATCATCCCTTGTGTCCCCGTCCCCAATCTCTTTGAAATCAAAACTCAAGCTTCTAGACCATATATTATACTGCAATGATCTTATAGATGGAATGCATGGCAAAAGTATCTTAAAGCTTTGGAAGGTTCAGCCAGCTAGAAAAAATAGTGAACAGAATCTTCTTACCTTTTGGATTTCCTTGCTCGTAAAATGTTCGAAAGAGAAGAACAGCTTCTGTTGCCAATATACCTCCAGCACATTTGAAACCCCTTCTAGATGGAAAGACAATGTTAATGAGAAGAAAATCAAGAATTACCAATTTATTAACAATAAAGGATGTACTGGAGAGCTATATATGGAGAAACTCAAATATTGTTTAGTTAAGATGCATACTTATTAGGTGACACGGCATCACTTAAATGCAATGATAGTATTGATCCACACCCACCAAATTTATCATTTGAACAGCCATAAATCACCTCCTTTATACCTGATAAATAATTAGAAAGGATAACATCAAGACCTATACTGAAATAGATTGAACAATTGATGATATGAAGGAAAATACCTAAATTTGATAAAGCAGATGCGCACATTATGCATGGTTCACAGGTAACATAAAGACTGCAGTTTGAGAATTTTTTAGCAACTTCAGTCATTGAAAGTCCATTTTTCTGCCATTGTTCTAGAAGCACGTCTATGGCTTCCATTTCTGCATGTCTTGTAGCCTGTAAAATATTGATTTAGTAATAATAACAAAAATATTTAGTAATATTAATGTCTCTATATTCTAAAACACTAAACTTCCAGAGTCGAAATTTCACAAAAGCTTCCAACTTAGAAAAGTATAATTTCAGTAATAATCCATAGTTCTAAACTATTGATTATCAAAGGAGGTGCTTCCATACATGAAGATGACCATAATAAAAACAGAGAAGTGACACTGGTGAGATTACATTTCTTGTCTCGGTAGTTCGATTCCTTCCCGAGGCTATAACCTTGTCATCCTCAACAATTACACAGCTGTCAAAAGATATTAAAGTTTACATAAATATAGTAGTCATTGATCAAATTCACTTTAACCAGTTTCACACCAAACAAATGACAGGATGACCACCCGAAAGTACAAGTAAATGTTGAATGCAAATTGTTTTCACGGTTAGATCATGTTAAAGGATGCATCAGTATACAATAATTATCAAACAAATTAATCTCTGACTTTGCTTGCAAATCCATTCAATTATAACCTCAGGTAGAACAACAGGACGAAAGAAATAGGACATTCCTAGCAAACACCTAAATTTACACGAAAAATACTACTACCTCTAATACACCATTACACTACCCTAACACTTTATAATCTTAACAACAACATTTATCAATGACAAGTTATACTTCTGGTGGCATTCAAGCATTTTGAAATTGCAAAGATAGCTTACCCAACAGGTACTTCAAGGGCATCCATAGCTAACTTTGCCTGTCACATGAAATAAATGGAATTCAATTCTACAAAATAAAAGGCGTGAAAACACACACTAGAACCTAAACTATATGGTCCATAAATGAAAAAGATGCCAAGCAACTACTACACTATATTTGCATTACGCCGAAATGAGTGATGAATACAGGGAGGTCTTAGTCTTTAAAATGTTACCTGTTGTATTGCAAGCTCCATGAATACAAGAGTGTTTGGAGAAGTCATCTTAAGCTGATTTATTAGGAACACAATGATGCCGAGAAATTTAACTTGTTCTAGAGGCTGGTGTTCTGCATATACAACAATAATATGAAATAAATATATCTATATCGATTCACTACTACCGCATTGGTTTCCAGTTCAACAAATCCAAACCCGTTCTAGTTCATCCCTAACCTAACCAAAGTGGTTCTTTGAACCAGTTTACAAGTCGATAACACTAACACCGAATCTGTGCCCATACCAAAACATAGCGAAATCCGATTTAACAATAACACTCAATCCAGATTATTGAGAGATGAGAAAGTTATGTTTCCACAAAATTGGTCTTTTTCAATTTTTATAACTTAAACTCAGAATTCTATGAAAGTAAAGAACTCACCTTATGAGTCAGATGAAAGACAAGTGAAGAGATCATAGAAACGGCACTTGTTTCTCTAATGGAGGTCCGATGGCCGGAGGCGGGCGGCGAGTTGGCGACGGCAACGGCGACGGTGACGGCGAACCTAGGGTTGGGCGACGGTGACGGCGAACCTAGGGTTGGGCGATGGTGACGGCGAACCTAGGGTTGGGCGACGGTGACGGCGAACCTAGGGTTGGGCGATGGTGACGGCGAAGAATGAAGAAGATAGGGTAATAATAATAATAATTGATAATTGATCCATTCAGGATACTTTAAATTAATTATTGGAATTCTAACTGAAATAATAAAATATCACACATTTAATCTTTCGATTAAAATCGGAAACACAGATTTTTAGTTAAAATATTCTAAATAAATATTGAGTCACTCTCTAATAAAATTATTAAAATTAAAATAGAATTAACTAAAAATAGAATAATATTTCTTGCTACTTTTTAAATAAAATTTGTGATACTATAAGAGTTTGTTTGATGTTAAGATAAGTGACTAAATATGGTTAATTATTTCTCTCAATCAAGTGATTGATTATTTTTGAAACTTATCATAACATATCTCTCTAATGTAATTTTCTTTTTAATGAGTTGTGTTAAAATTAATAAAATAGAATAAGAAAATAAATTGCTTAGTTATTTCAATAAAATATAATTTAAAATATATAAATAAAAAAAATCAAACATTGAATAAAATAATAATAATTAATAACTAATTTATAAAACTTAAAATGTTTAAAAAATATTATAAATAAAAATGTCAAAAAATTAATATTAATTTAAAATTTTCAAAGTATTTTTGTTATATATGTTAATTCTCTATTTCTGTGGTTGACATTATGTTTGATATAATGAACTTAGTATAAACATGTTGAATGAATATGTTTTATCAACTGAAGCAACATGTCGAATGTGATGTCTTATGCAAGTTCTTTCGACATCGTGATTTTGTACAACTAGATTGTTAGATATTTTAGTTGTTACAGGTGCAGAATATTCTGGAAATATTATGTTATCCCATGTGACGTGCAAGTTGAAGATTGATAAAGATTCTAGCTGAATACAAGGAATATTATTAGTTTCTAAATTAGGAGATAATTTAGGAAACTAATGATTGAAGCCCTAATGTGTGCAGAAGATTCTGCTATGTTTTAGCAGCTGATTTGCTATGTTTATAAAGCTCAATCCAATTCAGAGGATGGCTTTAAATAGAATGTCACTAACCTAGTTTTAGTGTGGAACTTACTATGTATTTTGATTAGGGTTTGTGTGCTTATTGTGAGCCTCTCGATTATCATATTGATGAAAGAGCCTATGGAAGCTCCGTCAAAAACCATAGTCCATCGGGATCCTTGTTCAGGTCTGTCATACAGTCCAGGTTTTGCATAGTCGGTCACTAACATGATATTGTCATATGGGAAGTCAAAGTTCATAGATTGATAGTCATCAACAGCTTGATGAGCCAAACGATCTGCTAATATGCTTCATTTGATGACTTTTTGTGTTGTATATTGAATATCGTATTCAGTCAGAATCATTTTCCATCTAGCTATCTGTCTAGAGAGAGCGGGCTTCTTGAAGATGTAGTTGATAGGGTCCATCTTAGAAATCAATAGAGTGGTGTGAGTCAACATATACTGTCTTAGTCGGCGAGCAGCCCATGTCAGAGTGTAGCAAGTCTTCTCGAGCTGTGAATATCTGGTTTCACAGTCAGTAAACTTTTTGCTCAGGTAGTATATTGCATGCTCTTTTCGACCAGACTCGTCATGTTGGCCCAACACACACCCCATATAATTCTCTAGCACAATCAAGTACATGATCAATGGTTTTTCTTCCACTAGAGGCATCATGATTGGAGGTTCTTGTAAATATTCCTTGATTTTATCAAAGGCAGCTTGACAATCGTCGTTCCATCTGACTACTTGATCTTTCTTCAAGAGTTTGAAGATTGGATCACAAGTAGCAGTTAAGTGAGAGATGAAGCGAGCAATGTAATTAAGACGACCCGAGAATCCTCTAACCTCTTTTTCAGAGCGGGGAACCAGCATTTCTTGAATGGCTTTTACCTTTGCAGGATCAACTTCGATGCCTTTACCACTGACGACAAAACCTAGAAGCTTTCCAGACCGTACTCCAAATATGCACTTATTAGGGTTCAACCTTAGCTTGTACTTCTTCAGCATCTCAAACAGCTTGTGTAGGTGATCAAGATGCTCTTCTTCAGTTTGCGACCTTGCAATCATATCATCCACATATACCTCTATTTCATGATGGATCATATCATGGAATAAAGCTACCATAGCTCTTTGATATGTTGCACCTGCATTCTTTAATCCGAACAGCATGACCTTGTAACAAAAGGTGCCCCATTGTGTAACAAAGGTGGTCTTTTTCATGTCTTCGGGAGCCATCTTGATTTGGTTGTAGCTAGAAAATCCATCCATGAAGGAGAATACTTTATGTTGAGCGGTGTTATCAGACAAAACACCGATATGAGGCAGAGGGAAATCATCTTTGGGGCTTTCCCTATTCAAATCCCTATATTCTACACACATACGAACCTTCCCATCTTTCTTTGGTACGGGAACCACGTTTGCAGCCTATTGAGGATAAGATGTCACAGCCAGAAAACCTGCTGTTGTACCCCAATTTTTGCCCCTAAGATCCCTTCATCATACCATGTTGATTCATTCACAACAAGATCACACTAGGATTCTTGGTTCTCCTCCCTATATTTAGCTTTTCCCTTTTGAGGAATCACCAAGCACCTTGACTTATGTTCTTTTGTGATCATGAATATTGTTTTTGTCTTGATTTCTTCTTTTAACTAAATAAAATTCAATGTTGGTTTGTCTTGCTTGTTATCTATGTAGGTAAAGGCAATGAGATTTAACAAGTTACCCCATGGGTTCATGAGTTTATTTCCATGCCCTAGTCAATAAAGCTTGAGAAGTTCAAACCTCACCATTGGATTGGTTTTGGAAGAATTGGAATGGCAAGGTAGTTTTAGTTCATCACATTTCAAGGTTATCAAATTTGGTTGAAAAACACAAGGGATTGATTGGAGAAGTTGTCATGGTTGGACAAGATTTTATTCCATTTGGTCACAAGTGCATATTTATCTCAATATTCAAAATATGGAAGTGGTTTTTGTGGCTATGAGTTCTCATTATCAACCTCAACAAATTCTATTTACAAATCATGTGTGTTGGTACAAGAAGTTTGTTCAAAATTGTCAAAGTTCCTCAAAGCATTCTCTTGATCTAAGGAGCTAGGGTTTTGAACTTCAAAGGAATATATCTTATTCATCTCTTGGTATTTTTGAGTGATCCAAAAGAAATCTTTATCTTCAAAGGGTTATCAACAAATTACTTCAAAAGTTTCAAGGAGTTGTCATGAGGAAGAGACTTAATGAGGAAGAAAGATTACAATTCCTCCAGATGAATCCCTAATTTTCAATGTGTGACTTAAAATGATCATAACTTGGTCAATTTTTATCACCTTGAGCCCATTCTTTTTCCATAATGGTCTTGAGGGTGTGAACTTTATACCTTCTTTTATGTGCAAAGTGATAAAATGGATGGAAGTTGCCTTAAGGATTCAAGACATTATAGGTCATTTCATGATTTTTTTTGCCAACTTCAACAATTCATAAATCTCTCAATTTTTGGAGATTTTGAATAGTTCAAGTTTCAAAATGTCATTCAAGAGATCTACTTCATGCCATCTTCTTTAGTCAAGAGCAAATTCCAAGTGGAAGGCCATATTTGGATGCAAGACATTATAGGTCATTTTTGAAGAAGAACTTGAAATATTTCTAAGTGTGGAAAGTCAACTCTTTTTCTCCAACTTTGACTCAACACAACTTTCAGCTCAAGCATCCACTTGATTCCATTCTTTTTCCATTGCAAAGCTTGTAACCTTATCTTTCTAAAGCATCAAGAATCATGCCCTAAGACCCGTTGAGCTGAGAATGCCATGATTTTGAAATTGGTAACTTGGAACTGAAGTTTCCTCACAAGTCATATTTTGAAATCTTTATTTTGGCTTCTAATCACAAGTTTTCCATGCGTTTTTGCCTCTAAACATGTTTAGTGAACTTCCAGAATGGATTAGCACAACAAAACGCGCGTTTTGGATGAGTTTTGATCATGTTTAAAGTCACACTTTTCTTGTTTGAAACTTCACACGATTTCCCTCTAAACTTCATCATTTCACACGCTTGAACATTCCATTTGATTCCCTATAAATAGAGGGTCATTCCCCATTCATTTTCTCAAGCTTGGATAGCCAGAATCACCCTGCCAAACTTGTTCCACAACTCAAAATTCAGTAACTTCAAAATCCATTCTCAAGCCTTTTTCAATCCAATTTTTCCATCAATTCACCTTCTTTGATCTTCCCTGAAGCCAACCACATAATTAAATTCAAGAATCATGCCCTATACTACTCCATAGAAGTCCAGTTTCAGAGCTCTGCAACTCAACTTCAATAGGTAGATTCCTTCATTAATTCTTCAAAACTCTGATATCATTGTGTTTCTCTCATTGCCCTGGTTCTAGTAGCAACATGTACCTTTTACTGGAAACACG